GGGGGGGGGGTAGGTGGGGATGGGGCAGAAGTCGTTCTTTCCATCACAACTGCACGGAGAGGGAAGGCAGACACAACTTACCCAGTTTTTATAGCCTTGCTGTTCTCTAAGCAGTTAGGATCACCCTCTACAACATAAATGATTTTACGCAGCCCAGATCTCTGAGAAAGTGAAAGATCCAACAAGACAGGCAGAGAAAACAGGTCATGCACCATCACACATAGAAGGGAGGACAGACAAGAACATATTGTTGCCGTACAGCCAAATTTAGTGAACCAATGTGTGCATCTTTTAGAACTGAGATAGCTTCTTGGTTCCATTCCTATACTCTGCAAGTACTACTTCCCCCAAACAGGACGTCCAGTCATTATGAAATTATGAATGTATCAGTTTCATTAAGACAGCTTGTACACTGGGAATCATGATGTGGAGGCATTGTGTTTTGGGGAATGGCTCCAGAGAAGGCAAGGCATGGCATCCAGTTGTTACCAGCTGAGATGGAGATGTTTAATTCAACCATTGATTGGCATTGAATATATAAATAATTCAAAATTCATATATGATTCCATTATTCTACATCAAGATGGCTGGAGGGAGGGGGTGGAGGGGGAGGGGGAAGGGGGTTTGATCAGCAGTTGCGGTGTGTCTGGATTCCATACTGTATATTACTCCGTGCATAGTGGAAAAGATGAGAGGCTACAGTCTTCACCCGAACAGGGCGTGCAGTCATTACATGTGTATATGGGACAACATTCAGTCCAGCGATAATGACCATATGTTCTATTCAGGGGAGGATGGTAGAGAAAGAAGGCAGAGGGGAAGGATTGGAAAAAGAAAAGGTGGTGTGTGAAACATACCATAAGGCGAAGCTTCTGGTCATAATACCGTCTATCTTTGATGGATTTGTCGAAATCATCAACACGTTTCCGCTCAATGATGAAGTCGAGCACAAACTCTTGACTTGTTCTTCTGTCGCGTGCCACCCACAACGCATCTCCAACAGGCAACTGCCGGACCTGCCAATGCAAAATGGCCAAGCGTCCGCATGCAATTTGTCATTTTGCAGCGAAGTTAATAATGGAGATCAGTGGAGACCAGACCTGAATCCCGACGTCCAAGCCACAAAGCAAGGACCAGGTGATGGGGCCATGGGCACACACATATCAGAAGCTAGCGGGTTGAAACTACAGTCTTCCCCCGAATACAACGTACGGTCATTATAGCTGAATTTAGACCGAAAGATACACCAAATTAAGCTATAATGACCGTACGTTGTATTCGGGGGAAGACTGTAGGAGGACGAGGTCGACTGTTGAAGCGGCATAACATGCCAAATAGTCCTTGAACTTCCAACCGAAGACGTGAAAACCACAGCGTGTGTGTCATGACGCCAATAAGGGTACATGGTTAGTCAATCATAAATAGTCTATGACTACGAATAGTATAGAATCATACATACACAATGAGGAGCGAGATTCTATGACCATACAATCATCCATACACGATGAGGTGTGAGATTCGAGAAAACATGAAAACCATAGTCTATGACAGCACTAATAAATTTAACGTTCCTGTTACGAGCTCACCAAATTTGGCTACAAGGAGTCTTGTGCACGCTGTGGAGATCGACCGATTGCCCAAGCCTTTAGGCCCAGTGCACAGGATAGAAAAATATTCAAGACTTCCTGAGGGTTGTGCAGTTGTCCGATCTTTCTGCAGCATACTGTACAGCTGCTTGGAACGCAACGGGAATGTCGGGGGATTCCTTGTGCTAGAAAGCAGGTATTTGTTCCTGCAAGTGGGGGTACTGGGTGCCAGAAGTGGGGTATGAGAGTGCTATCGGTCCCACAACGGGGTTATTGAATACTAGGAGGGGGCTATTTGTGATATCAGGAGCTACCCAATTGGTGAGCTGATGTTCGGAGATTGCCACGAAAGGAGGTCAAGCTGTGCCGCTTGCTTGGTATTGCACATCTGGTCTGAGCTAGAAGTACTTTGCTTAGTGACCTATTATCATCATTATTATTATCTTGTGTTATCTGCCTGATTGTCCCGGGCCATCCCAGTTGCCGTGTTGTCCGTACAGACGGCTGGATGGTCAATCCAGACCCACCGCAATTCAGTTTTATTATTATCATTTTTTTTTTTACTGTTTGTTCGCGAAATGGACCACAGACGGATGGGATATTGAACTGATCAGAGAAAAAAAAAAAGTAAAAAATCTCCATTGATTTGGTACAGACCATCCATGCACAGCCTCCTCACCGAGCTCACACCATGACATGCACATAGACAATGCACAAGTGAGATGGAAGCTCAGAATAGTCTTGGCCAATCACCTCAAGTACACAAGATTGACCAAGTACCAGAAAGTGCAGCTATGGCCGCCAACCAGCTGTCTCAGGTATGGTTTCTCTCCCTCAGCTTTGCACTCTCTCTCTCTCTCTCTCTCTCTCTCTCTCTCTCTCTCTCTCTCTCTCTCTCTTTCTTTTCTGAATACCTCTCTCATCTCTCTCCCGCACTTCCGCTGCGCTTGATCTGGCTATGGCTACTTCCTATGGGTGCCCACTGCCTAGCACCGTTGACTGCTACTATCGGCCAGAATCACACAATGGCACAGGTCGCAATATCTCCAACCAGCACTCCAAAGTATGTCCAATTAGCACAGCAGCACTTCGGCATCGACTCCCAAGTGAATAGGTGCTGATAGCTTTCTCAGGTGATTCTTTTATACTTGCTGATCCGCCTTCCAGATTCCTGCTGTTGGTTACGGGTTGGTCCCTTTGCCTTTGTCTGTTGCTTCCGGAAGTTTGCTGACTTTCTTGGACTTGGCTGCTTGACTGGACCAACTGACACTTGGCCTAATGGTCTCTCCTGTCTCTGCTTAAGCCTACTTGTGCTCCGACCCATAACTGTTATCGATCAAGGACTTCATGCTACAAGTTACTTAAGGCATCTGCAATCATTGTACACATATCAAAGCTACTCTTGCTAGGCATTTGTACTATTGTACACACAACCGGGCTATGCTACCCAAAAACTTGTGAATATTGTACATGAGGCTACGGCCGTCAAAAAATTGAACAAGGAGGGGACTCAGGACTGGGACTTGGGACTTGGGACGCAGGACTCAGGACTGGGGACTGGGACGAAGGCTGCAGCAGTGAAATCCTGTCACCATCTTATTAGCAGGGTTTATAAAGGCTCACTAATTCTTTCCAAAGATAAAGAGTTTCACTTCTATTAACTTTATAAAGCTCTTCAAGGTCTGTTTCATTAGCATGGTATGCCTTGAAAATCTGCTTTTATAAACTCTGCTAAGGACTTCAATAGACTAGGAAAAGGTACTCTAATAAGGTAGGCCTGGGGCATGGTGATCTATTCGGGTAACCAAAGGGCTGAGTTCCAAGGGGACCTTTCAAATCTGAATCGGATCTCTACAACAACCTGGGCGTTTTGTTTTTTGTTTTTTATTGAAAAGAAACTGCGCTTTTATAGAGCACTCACCTGTCCAATTCAGCTGTGCATCGGTTGAGTTCCTCGTCGACACAAAGCTTTGGCCCCGTCACACAAATTTTACTCCTTAATTTTCAACGGTGAAAATGATTCAACGAATCAATATCTCAATGGTGAACAGAGTCGCCTTTCTATCCCCTGCAACTGGCCGGATGTGCGTGCTCTGGACGTCCCAGTGGATTATCAACAAGAACAACCAAGTGTGCCAGTTTCACCTTCATGATGACCTGGCGCCCCCTGGAATGCGATTCCCCCACCTCTCTCTAGTGGTGCCATCTAGTATCTGATTGATAAAAAAATGACAACTACCTTGTTTGCTACAACGTTCCGATGTGTACAACTACCTTAAATGCTCTGATGTGTATAACCGCCACATACTTAAGCCAGTAGTAAGTAACCCTACTGTAAAGCTGATCAGTTCAATATCTCATCCATCTTCCATCTATTCAGAAAGTGTGAGCTTTTATCTGCCGAAGTGTCCGGACAGAAATCCAAAAGCTGTTTCCTAACCTACTAGTCTTTTGGATTTCTGTTCAGACACTTCAGCAGATAAAAGTCCGCATTTTCTGAATAGATGAAAGACTTAGTGGCTTATGATGCTGCAGTTCAGTCTAGACGTAAGTTACGCAACGCTTCATCAGGATGATTGTTGTGCTCTATCAGAAGTTTGAAAACATCATTCAGCAAACCGGAATCTGTCTCTGAGATCTCTTCATCCACTTCCATCCCTTCTTCCCTCTATCTTGCTACTGGTTTCTCCCACCTCTCTTTTAGGGGTTGATTCTTTGGTTGGCTTTATGTTGCAATCTCAGCACAATGGAAAGGATTCCGTCACTCGGTGCTTTATGTTATTCTGCTAAAATGGAAGGATTCTGTTACCAGGTACCCTGAATACCCAATCATTGCGGCTGAATGGCACCACACATTTAGCTCTTCATACACGGATCATGAGTTCAAAGTTGAAAGTTTAAAGTTTAGACTTACGTTGAAAAGTTTAAAAGTTTAAATGTTTAAACTTTAAACTTTAAACTTTGAAGTTCAAAGTTTAAAGTTTAAAGGTTAAAGGTTAAAGGTTAAAGTTTAAGTTCAAAGTAAAGTTTAAAGTTTAAAGTAAAGTTTAAAGTTTCGAGTTTGAACTTCAAGGTTTAAAGTTTAACGTTTGAAGTTTAGTGTGAAGTTTAAAGTTTAAAGAATACAGGTTAATTTTTAAAGCTCAAAAAGTTTCTAGAGTTTAAAAAGTTAAAAGTTAAATCCTGATGAATACAATAATGTTAGGGGCTAGGCCCCTGAACTCAAAGATGGTAGAGAAAAGTGCTGGCACCCTGAACCCAGCTGGCATAAGCATTCTCGCTGTCCATAGATGTTGCCTGCTTTCAGCATTTCGCCAAAAACCAAGTAGTGCCAAAACGTGTGAGAGTACTTACATCAACATCCACTCCACAATTACCGCCATTGAATCTGAGAAGTCTTGCCGCTCGCTCCTTAGGATTGTCCCTTCAGCATCATGGAACAGTTCCCCCCCCAAAAAAATGTGTGCATTCACCACAACTGAAGTCAGTGGCAATTTAAAATTGATCTATCTACCATACAAAACAGGGGCCATCCTTGACATTATTGTTTTATGATATACTTTGTTTAAGTTTGTTTCCAATTTTCAATTAATGGTCGAGATTTAGAACTCATCCATCTACAGTCATCGGTGGCGTCGTACCATTGTGCTAACAGCCAGTTGCACAACTCAGAAGCAACTTTCCCATTCTGACATGCCAGGTATTGGGGGGGGGGGGGGGGGGGGGGGGGGGGGGGGGGGGAGGGGAAACAGAAAAAAAAAGAGAAGAACAGCAGAAAAGATGAAGTGCCATGAAAACTACACACCAGGATTCATAGGATTTTTCATATGCATTCCTCACTGCAATCAGAACCTTCAGAAGGGTATAGCAGTGGTGGTCCGTACTTTTATCAACATCGGACCTCCTCCCTGCATGCACGGATTCGAACCGGCGCCCTCAGCCTCAAGAGCCGAGTTTCTTAACCACGACAGCCATGGCACGGTGCTCAAAAGTGGATCCATGCCGGTTGTGATATCCACCCCACCCCTGCATGGCCGTAGAAGCCTAGAAGGGTAATAACAGTGGTAGACCTGTCTAGTCCGATGAATGCATCTTTGCAGTGTGGTTCTTTAGGAACTGCATGGCCTCCTCATTGACAGACATCTGCGTTCGGTCGGCCGTACACATCTACGTCGGTGTTCAAGCGTGATGAACTCAAGCGGGTCACTGTATTCTATACAGGGCACTTGGTCAGGAACAGGTTTTTGGCCAGGTTACCAGCCAGACCACCCGGGTAAGCTTGTTTGCCCGGGCGGCCGGGCCATGCAAGGACCAAAGGTGGTCCGAGCAAAAAAAAAAAAAAAAAAAAAAAGTTATGCAGAAAAGTAAACCGAACAACTTTTGAATCAGGGTCACATCGAGATTCTTTACCAAATTTTGAATACTTCGGGCAAGTGGTCCCAGGCCGCTCTGGTAGCCTAGTTTTTTAGCCATTTGTTTTTTACACATCACAGCGGGGCACGTCATCTTTACCTGTTGGAATTCCGAAGAAACTGCTCCCTATGATCCAGCAGGAGGACGACCCCATAGGCTTCGGAAAACCTTTGCCCTTCGCTCAGAGGTGGCAGGGGTAATTGCAAAGCGGGATCGGGAGGCCCAACTCTCACAAACCCTTCAGCTGCCTCCACAGCAAGACCTGTCTGCATGGCACCTGAACGAGCATACACACGCACACATAACCCCACCGATTTCCCAGTCGCCGTAACAAGCGAATGAGAGAGGTGTCCATCGTTCAAACTTGACCCGCCGGTAGGAGAAGACTTGACAGTTGTCTCTGATCATTTCAGACTCTTCACAATCATGTAAGAGGGGGCACAAGCTCAAACTCTGGTTAACTGCATAGCTAAGCTCAAGCAGATGAAGGGCCTGTCCTCTGCCTCTTATCGCAAAGGATTACGAGTTCAAAGTCCAAACTTCAACGCTTCCGGTGCTACTGTCTTCACCCGAATACAACGCCCGGTCATTATAGCCGTATTTCATGCAACTTTCAGTCCAGATATGGCAATGTTTACCAGGCGTTCTATTCGGGTGAAGACAGTAGCCCGTGCTCAGTGAAGCAGCTCGCCAAAGCTGAAAAAGCTTTTGAAACCTGCAAAGTTGTGCAAACCCCATGCTGACAAGACACCAGATAGCCCTCTGCCTCCTGCAAACACAGCACATGACTAACAGTACTGCAACAGGTGTTGCATAATGCAATATCACTCACAAGTCGCAATCTAAAATGACAAACATAGTCTGAGGGCATACTCACACCGGCACTTTTCAAAATGCATCTGACTGCAATTACGGCCACACCTGGACGCATCTAACCGCAATCACGTCCATAAATAAGTGAAAAGTACCTACCAGTGTGAGTATGCCCTGATAATCTTGTGGATAACCAGATCCCCAGTTCTCCATCTAAAATGACAAACACAGTCTGAGTTTTCTGTGCAGGTTCAGGCACACAACAACTGGTAAGCTCTATTCCATCCCTTGTCTTTTTTGCAGCATTCTTTCTCGAATCATCAGGTTCTTTTTTAACTTGTTATCCTTTTCTCCTTGATTTATCCAGTTAAATTATTTCGAGAGCCACAGTCATGACAACCCCAGACACAGAGGCTGGAGCTCATGGCTGTCGACTAGGCGCCGAGATTCAACAACAAACTGAGCAAAAACACTATCTTCATCCGGCTGCATGATGCATAACATCACGCAGCTCTTGTCATCTAGCACCATATGTTTTTTCCCACCTCAGCTTCCCCTGCAGCGTTTGGATAGGGGAGGGGGAGACGGGCGGAAGTTGTTGGCAGAGTTGGATGGAGTGGGTGAAGGGGAAGGATGTGGATGGTAGGAGTGTGATTGCCGTGGGTCATTCTATTTATTAAGGTTCCCATGTGATGATAGATAGACATGACCACAGTTGTAGTTGTCGATTGGAGTCAACATCGTCACGTTTCACGCTTCTTACCAACACACTTTGCATACTACTAGTCCCAGTCAATCCAATCTTCACCAACTGTCATGCTCATGCTCCTGATAGGACCTGATTTGTATCACAGTCATGACTTCATCCCCGTCACACCCGCCCTCAATCACCAAACCAACAAGAGAATCATCAGCAAACTCAGGCGTAATTTACACAGATCATGAACATTATCACCGCTGACCGATAGGTGCCGACCGGTCAGCCGGTCGGCTGGTCGGCAGCCGACCAATCAAGGGGCGTCGACCGTCGGCCTGTGCAACTCTGTTGTCATGCATAAAAAAAAGTTATCATGTCAAACACAGATTGTAAATATCTGACCATACTTTGCATCACTTGCAAAGAGCACAATGATACAACATTTTACAATTTGAATTCCTAGCAAATTCCTACTAATCTGCTCATCATTGGGTAGGCCTGTGTTTTGTCGAGATCCACCACCACAACCGGCTATTAATCGATTGATTGATTGATTGATTGATTACAGGAGTCTCACAACAACCGGCTATTAATCGATTGATTGATTACAGGATTCTATACTTATCATGACAAGTAACATTATTGTATCAATCTGATTCCATCAAGATTTGAACTCCTGATCTGTTTACTAACAGTTATGTGTGTGTACTACTGTGTACCACTCAGCCACAGGGGATGGGTACAAGTAACGCCTTCCTATTCCGGGACAAAGCAAACACTTAATCATTAACAAACAGATAAAAAGTATAGAATAGAGCACAAGTGCCACAAGAATGATTAAAAAAAAAAAAAAAAAAGAACGCAAGAATGATTTCAGAAACCCTGATAGTAAAAAA